CGGCTTGCGGCCTGGGGGATTCCCGGGATCTAGATGGAGGTAAGGGTTTATAAGGTTTGGGGTTGAGGGCTTAGGGTTTAGGGTTTAGGGTTTAGGGTTTAGGGTTTAGGGTTTAGGGTTTAGGGTTTAGGGTTTAGGGTTTGGGGTTGAGGGCTTTAGGGCATCGTAGGGTTTAGGGGTTTAGGCTTTAGGGGCTTAGGGTTCAGGGGTTTAGGGCTTTCGGGGTTTACGAGTTTAGAGTTTAGGGGTTCAGGGTTTAAGATTTAGCCTTTAGGGCGTCGGAAACAGGAAACGGCAGGTGATAAGTAGGGTTACAGTTGAGCATAGTTGAACATCCTGAATCGAATAAACTGGTCACAATTTCATCCTGCGTAAAGGCGTTTCGGCTGTTAGACACTCACGGGACAGAGCCTTTAAAGGAACCCTTAGCGGAATCCTTAAAGGAACCCTTAAAGGAACCCTTATAGAAACCCTTCAAGGAACCCTCAGCGGAACCCTTAAAGGATCCCTTAAGGAACCCCTTAAAGGAATCCTTAAAGGAACCCCTTAAAGGGAAACCTCAAAAATCCTGAAGACAGGACCTAAACCCTAAACCCTAAACCCTAAACCCTAAGCCCTCTCTCAGTTCCGGACATCTTGAGGACGGCGTTGGGACCTTTGAGTTGCTTCTTTCGGGCTGCGTAGGGTTTAGGGCTCAGGGCTTAGGGCTTGGGGTTTGGAGCTTAGGAGTAGCGCGTTCATGGCTGTGGGCTTTTTCGTCTTCGGAGTTTGAGGGTTTGGGGTTTCAGGTCTTAGGCGTTTCGGCTCTCGGGTCTTCGGGTGTAGGGTTTAGGGTTTAGGGTTTAGGGTTTAGGGTTTAGGGTTTAGGGTTTAGGGTTTAGGGTGAAAGCCTGAGATGCTATAGGCCCCGACTCCTAAACCGAAAGTGCCTTAGATTAAAGAAGGCCCCGAACCTTAAACTATAAACCCTTAACCCCAAATATCTTACCTTTTTAAGGACTTATATAAGGAAGTCATAATAGGGAACACTGGAAAGGTAGGTTCTTTAGGGTCCCCTAAACCCCTATAAAGACCTAACAAAAATGGAATCCTACAGACCCGAAGGCCCAACCGTAAAGTCCGAAGCCTTGCAATTCCACTGCTGGAACGTTCGACGCAAAACCCGTCAAAAACCCAGGACTCATCTAGCTATTTTATGGAGAGGCCTTAAAATAGAGAGGCCTTAAAAAAGCAGGAATGGAGTTCTGGTGCAAGTTATAACTTCTAACCATACTGCCGCAAGCATGAAGATGAACTCGGCGTTCGGAGGCGACTTGTGTTTGAAAAAGGGGTCTGCTGCATCGACCGGAATCCGGAACCTTCAGCCATCCTTGCTTGAGAGCCCAATGAAAACCAACAAAGGCACCATAGGCAACGTAAAGTTTGAACTCACCTGGGTTTTCGAGCCCCATGCCACTCATGAATCAGGCCCAACTAGCTCTTGCCAAAGCACGGCAATGGCCACGGCGGCCTTCGCATGACCCCTCTCGACGGCACAGTGCAGCGCTGTGCGACCCCACCTCCAGGCAGCTATGCTTTAGAGCGGCAGTCAGGCGCGAGGGTGTAGGGCTTTGCAAGGTGAATGGAGGCTTGAGGGTTGAGGTTTCGGCGTTTAGCATTTAGACTTGCATTTCTCCTTTCAGTGGGTGTGAGAACTTAAGATCCAAAATTGTGCGCTTGCAGGTTTGGGTGGGTGGGGGGGGGGTTGCGGTCTGGGCAGAATCTGGGGACCTGAAGGGTTGGAATAGGGTTATCGGGGTATCTCGTAGCATAACTGTGCAGGGACTATCACGGAATACTATCACCAGTGATTCGGACCCCGACTTCAGGTAGTGAGGCCGGCCACCCTCCTTTCAAGACGAGAGAGCCGGATGGGTGCGATGTTGTTGCAAGGTCTTGGGCACGCTTTTCAACCTTGTGGGGATGGCTCTTTCTGCTGTTGTGGTTGCTCTTTTCCGAGCCCTAAACCCTAAACCCCAAACCTCTTGATTGAGTTTCTCTTCTCTACTGCCGGCTCTTTCGAGCTGCTGGGTCTGTGCTACTTAACTGGCTTTGAAGTAACCAGGGAGAAGAAAGTATAGACTTTTATTTCATACTGGTTCCTTTAAGGAAAAGGTCTCCCAAAAAAATGTATTAAAGTATGGTACGCCAAAGCCCAGTTAAGCTCCCTTGCTCCCTGCATCCTTCCAGCGCCGGCCTGTCTCTGCGATCCACCTCCTCCTCGAAGCTTTGCGTGGAGAGGAGGACCTTCACCGCCTTCTTTCGGGAGCAGCGTGATAAAGGGGGCTGCTAGAGTACAAGGCACAGAAGAAGTGGTGGCATGTGGCCGTCAGAGGCTGGTAGGCGAGGTTCATAAGGTGTTTTGAAATTTCTATGGTGGGTTTACATGGCTCCAAGAGTTGTTATGCGATTTTTAAGGGCTTCGAGCTCAAGGCTGCCCCGACCTGTAGGGTATGGTTCAGGCTCAGGAATGCGGTTTGAGAGTTGTTTCGGGTTTAGGGCTTCGGGGTTTGGGGCCTGCGGTTCAGGGCCGAATGCCTTGCCACTGTCACTTGGTTTTGTCGTCGGAGTTTCGGCTGGCTGCGCAAAGAGGGCATTCATGGTTGGCGGGCTTCCTCCTCTGCTTCTCAGGGTTTGGGGTTTAGCGATTTGGGCTTGACACTTGGATTTAATATTGATCGGGCTGCCAACCTCGTTGCACTTGTGCCTTACAGCTTCAGGCACATCTGAACCTGCTGCAAAACACCACCCCAGCCACTTCAACCCTGAACCCTAAACCCTATCGGCCCTATCAGCAGCTTCGGCTGTGACATATTATTCGTTTTCTATCACCCGACATCTCAAGCCCGAAGATATCTTGTTAGAATGTTAAGGTTGAATCTAAGCTTACATCCAATAATTGTAGGCATTTTGATATTTTCTTTGTTGAATTTTAACAGAACTACGGCTGATGATATAAATCCTGCATTACCTATAATAAGGAATGTACCATAATTCCCATAGTTTGGGGTCCCTAAGGTAATGCAGGATTCATAAAAATTCAACACTTTGATTGAAAATCCTCAGAGGCTCCATCCATGCTTGGGAAGACGAGGGGCCTATCGAGAGGGCTCTGGGGCTTGGCGGCGTCGGGCTTAAGTTAGGCTAATGTAGCGGCCTTCATACTTAGAATAAGGATTAGGGATTGGGCATATTATACTATAATGCTAAGAAGTAGAATAGGGATTGGGTATTATACTATAATGTTAATAATTAGAATAGGGATTTGGGTGATATTCTACGATAATCATAATAAGGAAGCCCCCAAAATAGATGTTGGTAATTATTTCGGCCCCTACATGGGTAGTTTTCTAAATTGGGGTCCCTGTGGGGGTCCTTTTTATAAGGGTGCCGTACTATATTGGGGACCCAAAAAGGGACCTTAATTTAGAGAACTACCCACATTACGCCAGACCCTGAAACTTAAAGAGTCTCACAACTCCTGGACCCTGCGTCCTCCACCATGAACCCTAGGACCTCTAAACCCTAAATCCTACATGCAGGTTTAAGGCTTTAGGGTTTGGGGCTTTAGGGTTTAGGGCTTTAGGCTTTAGGGTTTAGGGTTTAGGGCATTAGGTTGGATTAGGGGCTTAGGGTTTAGGATTCATGGTCCTCTGTCTCACCGTGAAGTGCCGCAACATGCAGCGCTGTCTGCCCATTCCGGCCCAAGCAGCCTGCTGACAGCAAGTAGGATTTCAAACTTAACGTGCACTTTGACTGTAAGAAGAATCTCGCAAAGCGAATCAAGGAATGTACGAAAATACACATGCATGTAAAGGTACTTGCTTGCGTTTTATGAACTATTTGTTTGTATGCACAAAAGGTCCATACTTATATGTCTATGTGTGTATGTATGTTTGTATTTTTGTTTGCTTATCCTTGTGCTCATGCTTATATATATATGCTTGTGCTTTCGGTTCTTAGGTTTGATTCGTATTAACATCAATATTTCCATTTCGTAACTCACATTCATATTTCACATTTTCCAGGTTCTGTCATATTATGATATTATACGAAATTGGATCCTAATTTGATGCTATGTGAGTCATTAATGGTCTTTACTGCTACTGCCCTTTACTGCGGTAAATGCGCCTGATTGTCGCAGCAGCTTTTCTTATTGATGTTGCTGCTAGTGCTACTAACATTACTAGTCATTCTCACTGACACTATTCTTGCTACGGTTACTATTGCTGCTGCCAGGAAAGTCTGTACAAGCATGGTGAAATGCTGCCAATGTTCTGAGTACTATTGCTGTTGTTCTTACTCCCTTGATTCATGCTATTCTTCCCTGTACGATGATGAGTATGAAGAATACTGCTTGGCTTCTACTGCTGTTCTTGCTAATGCTTGCGCTAGTGTTAACGCCGTTGCGCGGTTCTGGATATGCGCACCATGTGCTCAGTTATTCTAAACTCATTGTTTCGAGTCAGACACATGGGTAGTTCTCTCAATTTTGCTAATATCGACATGGTTTGACCACAAGCAGTCATGCAGTTTAGGGCTTAGGGTTCGAGTTTTCCGGGGACGGGGCTAGAGCCACAAAGAGTCGATCATGATGCTGCAAGTCAACTTAATACCGTTAGTTACAGTGGATTCGCTGTTCGTAAAGTACCAGAACGAGTCATTTCTCAGGTCTTGATGTTTGTTAAAACACGATCTTCATAACCATCATCCTCGCCATCTTCAACATCATCGCTAACCTGGCCATCTTCATCATCATCCTCATAGTCATCATCCTTATCATCATCCTCATCATCATCATCATCATCATCATCATCAGAAACCCAAGTTTTTTCAAGTTGGCTTAACTACAATTTCTCAAAACGCTGAAGAACCCAGCATTTTACACCCTCGAACCACTGAAAACTACCAGGCGCCAGGAGGCGCGCAACCCTAGTAGCAGTGGCAGCTGTAACCATAATCGTAGTAGTAGTAGTAGTAGTAGTAGTAGTAGTAGCAGCAGTAGTAGTAGTAGTAGTAGTAGTGGTAGTCGTAGCAGTAGCAGTAGTAGTAGTAGTAGTAGTAGTAGTAGTAACAGTAGTAATAGTAGTATATAATAGTAGTAGTAGTAGTAGTAGTAGCAGTAGCAGTAGTAGTAGTAGTAGTAGTAGTAGTAGTAGTAGTAGTACTCACATCGTCTTGCGAGATGCCACAGCGCAGCGAAGATTCTGAGCATCGTTACTGTCAAAGAAACAAAAAAAGGATTTGTCATAGCTTCAAACTGCCCATATAACCATAAGCCTACAACCATAACCACCTGTAATCCTAAAGTACACTCACAAAAGCTCTACACTCTGAATACAAAGCTTAAACTTTAAATCCTAACCTAACCGCAGCCGCAAGCCCTAAGTCAGGCCCAGCAACCCCGAGCCCCAAAGCCCTGAACAGAAGAAGAACAACGAAAAAGAACAGAAGGACACCTCCAAACAAAAACACCTCAACCCTAAACCCCTAACCCCCAAACCCCCAAACCCCGAAACCCTAAACTCAACCACAAAAAAAACTTAGCTTCGCACCTGGAAGTGCCAATAGATCCTCGCATTGGAGGAGCTCTTTGAGGCATTCTGCCTCGCCCAGGAGGGCGGCAGGACGGGGGCAGGGCTCTCCTAAATTGTGGGGTTGCTTCGGGTTGCTTGGGGGTTTAGGTGAGGGTTTAGGGTTCAGGGAATATGGCATCGTTTAAACTCTTTGAACCAGATTAAACCAAACAAGTTTAAACTCTTTGAGCCAGATTAAACCAAACAAGGCCACATGTTTCGACCTACGTCTTTCAAGGTGTTCGTTCAAAATCCAGAACATTTGTCCTCTAAAGAGCCATACACTCTACTGGGGTCTGCAGGCTCTTATGGGCTTCCATAATGGGGCAACTTAATGCTTTGTCCAGGGGTAGTTGGAAAGGGCTTTCACGCTGATCGACAGTTTTGGAGACGAGCCTGTGCTCGGAAAGCCCGTAACACGCTCTTTTCTTGCTTCTTGCAGTGAATGACAAGTTTTAAAAAGTATGGCTGTAAGCTCGGTAGCCATAGCTAGAATTGTTTGCAACTCACCAAGTCCCGCTATCGTCCTAAAAAGTCTTGTGTCAAGGTCTGAAAGCAATTGAGACATGGCTGTGGAGTTGGTGCATGAATGTGCGTGAAGTGCAGGGAGCTGAAAGCAGCCTTTTCTGCCGCCGTCTTGCCAGTCAGTTCAAAAAATGGTCTTTGCGCTGGAAAACGTCTTCTCGTAAGGTCCCTATCGAGTTCTGCCAGTGGGCAGTGGCATTCGGGAGTTCTGGTGTGGGTGTTGTGGGGGTTTTGGTGACGGCAAGGGTTTGGGATTCGGGTAGCTGGTCTATCGAGTTCGAGGTTTGACGATTTCTGCTCCCGGCCTTCAAGCAGAGGGCGTCAATTCCTCCTAGTTCGTCTCTCTACCCTAAAGCCTTAACCCCCAACCCCAAAACCCTCCCCTAAAACCCTAAACCCCTAGACCTCAAAGCCCCAACCCCAAAAACAGCCCCTAAAACCCTAAACGCCTAAACCCCTTAACCCTAAAACCCTAAACTCCTTAACCCTAAAACCCTAAACCCCATCATTCAACCGTACCCCAAACCTCTGCAGTCTAGCTCGGGGCCAGTCATCGGAACCTGCAAAATCGAATACTATAACTATAGGGGTTTAGGGTTTAGGGCTTAGGGGCCTTAATGAACTAGCATAGGGCTTTGGGGGCTCCTTGTTATAGCTATAATCATAGTATAATAGACACTAGTATACTAGACCCCAAAGCCCTGTTCTAATTATTGAGGCCCCTAGATTATACTACGCTGCCTCAGGCAGGCCCTTCTCCCGGAACGCTGAAGCCCTACACATCTCCCTGAAACTCAGAATAGCGCTATAGACCCTAAGTCAAGACCGTTGCGAATAGTAATTCCTCAAAACAAGGTCGCCTCCCAAGTCAGAGCCCCACGCCTTCCAAACCTCAAACCTGTGAATTCCTCTGAGCAGTTGGCCTCTCCATTTTGTGCCGCGACGTGCAGAGCCGTCCACCCACGCCAGTCCTGCGGGAAGCTCGTGGGGCTCTTGTGATTGCGCATGCTACTTCTGACGATGTTGCCCTCGCTCATCCCGCCTACTGGGGCGGCCGACCGGTCGACCAGGAGTAATATAGGAACCTGATTAAGAAACCCTGGGTCAAAATTGGGTTCTTACAAAGAAACCCTAAACCCTAAACCCTAAACCCTAAACCTAAGCCCTAAAACCTAAACCCTAAACCCTAAACCCTAAACCCAAATATACTGGGGTTAGAGTCCAAGGAATGGGTGGTGTAAGGTCTCGGGTTCGGCCTGACAGTTTGGATGAGAGCTCGGAGGTTGGACCCAGGCAGCAAGGGAGCCACTACAAGTAGCGCTACATAAGGACGTGTACATATGTAAGTGTATATGTCTATATATATATATATATACACATATATATATATATAGATATATACATATATATATACATATATATACATACATATACGTGTATTCATTGTTCTATAGCTGTATCTCTTTACTTATTCAGTTATATCATAACCGGCATGTGGACGACTTTCCCATTCAGGGCTACTGAACTTCGGGGATGAACCCGGTCACAAGCAGCGGTGGAACGAACTGGCCTGCTCTGGACGAGAAGAGCTGTTAAAGGCGTAGTGCCGCAACCGTGTCATATACCCCAAACCCGGGTCAAGGCGTAGCTGAAACGGCATGTTGCAAAGTATAGCATCATGTACTCCTCAAGCCACCTGTCTGGACAGCAAAATCGGGCACGCGTTCGAGCCCAACTGAATGAGAACTCACCCTCAAACTCAGAATTCGGGAGAGGGCCGTAGAGGATCTGCTACGCCACCAACCCGTGCACATGGACCAAATTCTGCATCATAATCCACATGGCGCGGGGCACCTAAGGTATTCAGGGTTTTGTACAGCCAAGAGAGTGTCCACACTGTTGTGTGGAACCTGAGATCGACGGGTGCAAACGGAACAGAGGATCGGATGCAAAAAGTTCGGAGCACAAAAAAATTAGGCAAACATGAAGTTCGTAAGGATGCATCTCGAGACCCTGAACCCTAAGCCCTCAGGTTTAGGGTTTAGGGTTTAGGCTAAACCATAGTCGATGCCGGTATAAATAGCCGTTTCGTCTGAAAGCGGCTCCTTTGCCGCTGCAAAGTCGGGGATGCCTCTGGCCAGGACGAAGGCGCAGGGCTTGCTTGTAGTAAGTAGGGTTCTAAGTAGGGTAGCAATAGTTATAACCTATGTTAGGGTTTAGGGTTTAGGTTTTAGGGTTTGGGGTTTAGGGTTTAGGGTTCTAGTTATAACCTATATTAGGGGACTTAGAACTCCACCTATAACTACCCATGAACCTCCAAGAAGGGCTCAGAACTCAGAGCCAGAGCGCCCCCACGATATCCTATTGGGTAGTTCTCTTAATTAGGGTCCCTTTTGGGTCCCAAATATAGTACGGCACCCTTATAAAAAGGACCCTAAAAAGGGACCCTAATTTAGAGAACTACACATACCCTATTGGCTTCAGAACGACCCGAGCCATGTCATACACAGAGTCTGCATGCGCGATGCCTCGGTGTGCATGGGGGGACAATAGGGAATGCTTCTCAACGTCCTTTGACCTTGTCGGTAATATCGGCATGGTGACTACGGGTTTTGGTTCTTGTTCAACCTTATGCCGACGTCGTTTGGGGTCTGAGGTTCAGCAACGCCTTTCAGAAGGATATCCTGTACGGCCCCTTGGACTCGATGTACAAAAAGAGACGATTTTCTAACATAACCCATCTAAGTTATGACTTCAAATATGAACAGCAGAGCTTTTCTAAGGACACCCTGTTTCGAGTGTGCTGCGAAACCTGTGAAGAGACTGAATCGAACCCTGCATCACACCATCAAGCCGAAAATCTCGCGCCAGGCACAGCCCCTCTTCCGTCCTCAAAGATCAGAAACTGGTCGAAAGTACAAAAACGCAGATTTAGCGATTTTAAACCCTAAACCTCAAACCCTAAACCCATTTAGAGACAAGTCCTGGATGAGAAAGGACAGGGGGCGAGGCGACATGCAACACGCAGAGGTCCACCCGGTAAACGCCAGATCCTCCAGGCATGATACCCTCTCGGAACGGATATAAAACCCCTCGACCTGTAGTGCAGGGGCCTTAATAGTTAGAATAGGGTTTGGGGGGAGGGTTCCTTATTGCAATTATCGTATACTCTACCCCAAACCCTATTCTAATTATTAAGACCCCCATAGTAAACCCTAAACCCTAGACGTCTAGAGCCCTAAACCCTAAAATCTCTAGAATCTGGACCTCTAGAACGCCACGACCCTAAACCCTAAACCCTACCCACTAACCCCGAAACTACTAAACCCTAAACCCTAAAACCTAAACCCTAAACCTCAAGAACCCTGTTTTCACACCCTAAAACCGAAACCCCCGGGCCCCCCGCCTCGGAGTTTGGAGGACTTTACCAACTCGGCGCAGAGTGCGTCCAGGCCCTCCTGGAGAGCTGTGGGTTTCGAGTTCAGGGATTCGGATTTAGGGGCTTAGGGATTTCGGGATGTTAGAGGTTTCGAGATTTTAGGGGTTTAGGGGCTTTAGGTATTCCGGGATTCTCGAGATTTTAGGGGTTCAGGGGCTTAGGTATTTCGGGATTTTCGAGATTTGGGATTTTCGGGATAATAGGGGTTTTGGGGTTCAGGGGCTTAGGGATTTTCGGGATTTTAGGGGTTTTGGGGTTTAGAGTTCTGGGGGTTCGAGCCTTAGGGGTATAGGGCTTAACCCTAAACCCTAAACCCTAAACCCTAAACCTAAACCCTAAACCCTAAACCCTTTCTATAAGGCTTCCATAAGGTATATAGACGTTCTATAAGGCTCCAAAAAACGGTAACTACCCACCCTGA